CTCCCCGCGGCGGGCGGGAGGGTGTGGGCCCGCTGCCGGCGGGGCGGGCGGCCCTCGGCCCCGGGCGGGCTGGCGGGGGGGCACAGGCCGCAGCAGGGACAGGGAGGGCTCGCCTGTGGCACCGGCAGTGACAGAAGTGACTCCTGTCCCGGTCTTTGCACCTCAGAGACCCATTTTAATCTAGAACTCCTAAAACCCGCTTCCCTTTAAATTTCTCCTTTTCCTTTGAGTGGATCTGTCAATCGCATATTTGTCTCCTGTTTGGCAACTCTAATTTGCATTTTTTAAAAACCTTGGAACTCCTAAATACCTTATTCTGTTGCAGTATTTTTTTCCCATTTTGTCAATGGAATGGTAAAAATCCGCCCGGAGCGGTGTCCCAGTGGGGCAGACGGGGAGCTCCCTGTCCCAGGGACGGGGTGCACATTAAAACACTTTTCTGCTTACCTGGTGCTGCTCATGTAAATGTAATATAAAGGTGTGTGTGCTTAGTAGTTCTCTTTGAATCGATGATGCTAATAAAGCGTGCGACTAAGCAGGTAGGGAAGTAATAGTTCATTTAGCTTTGGCTTTAGGAGTCTTTACAATGTGGATTAGCAGGTTTGCTGCTGTGTGGATATTCGGGGAATGGCTTGAAGGTATTGTTGGAATTCAATGTAATTTTGACATACGCGATTGATATCTTAGCTAAATCTTCACAACAAAACTAGAAACCAATGATGTTAGAACAGCTTTGACTGTAAAAATTGAAAAGGATATCAGAATTTATTCTTAAACCATTTTTTTTCTCTTATACATCAGATTGTCGTTAATATCAGTAGAAGTGGGATTGGTATGTTATATGCAAAACGGAAATGTGTATTTGTTTCAAGTTGAACTCTTATTTAATTTTCTTTCCTGTGGTGTAAAAATACTGAACTATGAAGAAGAACAGGGATTAAGACCAATATGAAATCTGATTTCCTTCCAAAGCCATGTTTGCCTAGATTAAGGGCTGCCCTCATCTGCAGGTTGGCTTCTGTGGGTTCTGTGGAGCGAGCGCTTCACTGACAGCTTTTTGTGCCGTGGGTAGGACAGACACCTCCCTGCTGTACCAAAGCTGTTAGTCCCTCTGCTGCAAGGTGTGGGGCGGGAGTGTAAACGCTGGCCTCTCACCTCCCAGATAAGTGATCTGCTCAACTAGGCTGGGTGATAGTCTGAATTGCATTCAATTAATTAAATATTCATTAGAATAAACACTGCAGTCCCAGGTTTCCTCTACTCAGATAAGTATGTGAGCAATTTGATTATAGACTCAAATGCTGTCTCTGCTCTACAAAGTGTATTTAATTTTCAACATCTGTTTTAGTCACTGAATCCATTAAGTTGTGCTGATGAAAAATAATTTCTTGCTGAAGTGTTTTGGTGGATTAGACTTTAAAGACAAAAGAGGAGGGTGTAGCTCGAATCAGGCTTTGTGTGGCTTGCAGTTTTCATGGTGGAGAGGGAAGGCGCTTAATAGCGATTATTAGGAAGTTATTAAAGAAGAAAATGGTAACAAACAAGGAAGTCAGCTGGGAGTAGACAGCAATTGCATACTTGGTGCTGAATGGGAGTTGCCAGAAGGACGCGCTGGGAAGAATGGAGGAAGTTTCCAAAGAGCTGCAATGTGAAGAAGTGCAATTCTGGTTTTGATTCAGTTGCCCCGGGAGCAGATCACATGTAGCTGCATAAACTGAACAATGTGACAGTACCTAAGCTCAGAAACATTTTAAATTAACACTAGAATTTTCAGTTAATGACAGCCTAGAGCTGTAGTTTGCTTCTTGCTGTTGATAAGGCAAAGAGCTATCTTTGAGCAATGTTTAACTTACTTCTGCAGAGCTTTTTTAGATTAATGATAACAAATGTCTACATCACTGTTGATACACTATCTTAGTACGTAGCTATATAGTTGGTGTGTTCTGTTGTGTTTATGTACATTTTTAATAAGCTAGAGGGAGGGAAAATTTGAAACTGGTGTGTGTGTATAGGACACGTGATTATATTTTGTGTAGTTCAGGATTTGGTTTTCTTTACTTTTTCAATCTAATTTTGTTTTATTCTTGATGTAGAGTTCAAATGCTACTGCCAAGCCACGGCAAGCTTCATCTGGAATAATTAATGGCCAATTTTGCTCTTGTCTGCTTGATCTAAAGGAAGAATGTTGTTTACAATAAATTCTCTTCCAGTATGGCTTACACTTGTGAACCTTTTCGCCATGGTCATGAAAAAATAATATATTAAATGGCACACACAAGGTGTCTGCTGTCAGTGCAGAGGGCAAAATCCTGAAAGCCTTTGCAGGAGTTGTCTGTCCATGTGAGAAATTGTGTGAGTAAGATCTTTTCGTGGCTGGGCTGGGCTCTGTGAAGTGGTAAAGGCTCTCACCTCCCTTTGTGGAAATGGTATAATATTAACCAGCTGGGAAGATTTGTCTGTATTGTTTGAAACAGTTCTCAAACATGGCTTGCCGTTTCCGTATTTCAGCTGCCAAATGTAACTCATAAATTCAGATAGATGATGGAATTGCTTGTAATTAACAAGACACTATGTTATGGATAAAAGGTTTTGACATAGATGAAATTCTCACCTTAATCACTGGTTCATCTTAAGCGAAGGGAAACTTGTTGAAATAGAAGTTAGTGTGCTGGTTCTTTTGCATAAAATTTGCACACGATAACTGGTTACATCTATCAAATGCTTATTTTAAAACTTAAAATTCTTATTTAAAAATCTTTAAGACTACCAGAAGTCTTAATGAAAGTGTTAGCTTATATCTTTTGAAATTATCCTTATAAACATGGACCCACAATGACTGGTCAGGCCGTAATAAACCCAGTCATGCCACTGAAATCCACAACAGCACTGAGGTCTCTCCAGTTAAAATCCCACCCTCCCCTTTCCTTCTCCCAGTTAAAAATGCTGCATCTCCAGAGCGTTTCAGGGGATCACTGAGAGCAGCCTGAGCTGTGCCCCTTGGGAATGATGGGCAGATGGAAGTAGCCTGAGGTCACCTTCCACCGCAGGGTACCGTGACAGCCCCAGTGGCCTTGGGGACAGCATCTCCTTGTGCAGAGCAGGGAGCGTGTGTGGGAGCTGAGGCTGGCACAGAGTCAGGGGTTTCTGGCTTCTCGGTTCCCTCCCAGCCTGCGCGAGTCCAGCCGGCTTGGCTGGTATGGGAGGGAGGGAGGGAGGGAGGGAGGGCAGGCAAATCCGTGTTTGTAAGGGAGAGAGGGAAATGTATCTACATTAAAGTTCTTTGGCAATGAAACAGTTTGATTATCTTAAAAATAGGTATAATTTTATCCAAGCAAAACATCCTTAGGTTCTGTATAATATTCCACATATGATTAGGCTGTCCTTTTGGATATTATAAAAGTATATTTTGACTTAAAATGCTCTGGTCTTCTCAGTTCTGAATGTATTCCTCTGAGACAACCTAAGTAACTAGGTAAAATAATTTTACACATTATGCTCTCTAAACTAGACAGTGTGAGTTATGTATTCCAAAGCCCTGTGGCAGCATGATTTAGTTCAGGCAGGTTTGTCCGACTTTTCCGTAAATTGAAAATGCGTCTTTTAATTTCACGCACAACACTCGTCTCGTTTCCCTGTGCCATACGATGGTGGTCAGCTCTGACTGAGAGCAATCACTGCTCTCCCGTGGTACTCCCTGCTGCCATAGCACTGGCGTGCTCCAGTGGTGCGAGGCTCAGCACCAAGCTCGGAGCTGCCTTGCCTGGGTCGGAGGAGGAACTGGGAGTCAGGGGTACGCCTGCTGCCAAACTGGTGTGAAGGAAGTACCAGTGGGCATTCATGTTTTAAGTATTCTGCTTTTTAGTTCAAATTCTGTAGGTGTCAGAAGGGATGTAGGAATTGGGCTGTATGTTCTCGACGTCCGTGTTGTCTCTTTTTGGTGTTATGTCCCAATACAGAGTGTTCTGTCGGTGTCGGTGGGCTCCCTTCCTTGACAGACCTACCTCAGGTGCAGTGTGTGGGAGGAGGAGTAAGCAGCTTTCTAAGTTTTCTGCAGCACTTAACAATTTTGACATTTCTTAATTACAGTGATTGCTGCTAAAACAGTTTATTTTCTGCTTTGATTTCGCTTTCCTGGTGCTGTTATGATTCACTCAGGAGATTTGAAAACCGCTTCAGGCTTCCTAAACTTATGCAACAGTTCACAGCTGGAAATGTGACCTACTTCAGAGCTGCTCTTACCCGGCTAAGGATGTCTCTGGGACTGAACTGCAGCAATGCAAACTTCCCAAGCCCACGGGTTAAGGGAAGAAGTGATTTGTTATGAAAATTGAAAATTTGTACTGTGAGAAAGAATAGCTAGTATGTTGTAAACTAACAAATTGCCTGGTTCTTAGATTAGATTCAGTGGGAATTTTGCTTACTTGGATAAAGAAGTGGACATGGAGACTTCAAGCACTGTGCAGGATTTGTTATAACAGCTGGTACCCACGAAATGAAGGCAGTGTGTGCAATTGCTTGTAGACAGTGCTAGGAAAAAAAGTGAAAGAACCTGTTTGAAGATGAACAAAAGTGCTGCTATTTATGGATTTCTGTAATTTAAAAAGGCATATTTCATTTTTCATTTAAGAATATGCAAATGTTCCAGATGGGCATCTTTTTTCCTAGGTGTCAATGATGGAGTTTTGTGACCACTTCTTGAAACAACTTCCATTGCTTGGTGCCCTGGATAGTCACCCAATGTGGTTTGCTGGCAGTTCCTCTGCCTCTTTCATTTTGGTGTTTAAGGAAAATACATTTTCTTCCCTTAGTGAAACAAAAAGTGTTTAGGAGTACATCTATTTGCACTAGCTGACCTTGATACCTAACATGAAAGACTGTAAGTAAAAGACAGTCTCTGTGAAATAGGGACATGTGATCCTCGAAGACCTAGTCCAGTATGTCAGCTTTGATTTATATCCTATTCTGTTGGCACGTACAGAAAATAAGGACTAATTCCCCCGGACCTGCAAAGAAGTGATTGAGAAAAAACAAATTCTTAAAACTGAGCGTGATGGATTGCGTCCTGCCACACTGTCTGTGGGGTCCTCCCTTTGGGCTGGAAAGGCCCTGGCTTTAAACCATTTCTAGGGGATTTTGATCAGTGGATCTCAGTATGTTTACAGCTGGTGGCCGTATTCAGGTTACTTTGGGAACCCATGTAAGCCTGAGCTCTGAGCATAAAGGGTTTTGGAGATTAAAGTGCAGTAATCACTGAATCTTACATATTTTCTTTCCTGCAGGGCACTGTTCGAAGGATTATTATCGAGAATCCTGATCAGGTAGGAAAACTGTTTAGTGCTGGAGTGCTTGTGTAACTCTTCCTTCTTTAATCATCCTGATCCGGTGAAGTGCTTAGCTGCCTCCTTCAGGGGATGCTAAATATTTTGAAATCCCATGGCCCATACCTCTGGTTGAGAGAAAAATTACTAGGAATTGAAAATACTACAGAATTGCCAGTCAGGCTTCCCACCTCTCAGCGGTGAAGTCTCTATTAATATTCCTCAGTAGTATCTCCAGTGGGCATTAATTTCTAACGGTTTCTACTATGTTCATTTCAAATATTGTCTATATGGACACAGTCATTTTGTTTCCAAATGGACATACAGTCACATGTACGTATCTTTAAGAACTATCTCAAAGTATATATGTCTTCAAATTACAAAAATTCCTTACCATTTTTTAGTCAAAAAGACACTAATTCTGAATTTGCTGTTTGACAACATTTCATAAATGTTTATATTAACATGTTTTACAGGAGCCGCTGTCCCCATTTCTTAGAGGGGGGAGTTTCTGTCCTGGAAATAATGTCATCTATGAAAAGACAATAAGAAAATACGAGCTATTAAATCCCCACCAAGTAAGTTGGTTAAATTATCCATTGCGACAGAAAACTGAGATGGTAGTAGAAAAGTGACCTTCTTGGGTTGTTGGGTTTTTTTGTTGGGAACTATAGTCAACATGAGAATTGCCTTGTTGAATTATAGGACACATTCTCAAAGTAAATGAAACAATTTCTGTATGTAAAGAGAGTAGAAGCTGGAAGGTTTGCTCTATTTTTACTAGGCAGTCATTATTTTGTAGCAATAATGAAAGCTACTGTTCTGTCTCTAGCACTGTCAGTCTTTATCTGAATGCTGACTGAGATTAGTTTCTTGCAGTAGCTCCACAACAGAATAACCAATACAAATTTTTACACAAGATGAACTGAAAAGATAAATTTTAAATTTTAGTTTTAACTTTTTAATTAATTCTTGAAAACATATTTGATAAAGCTGTCTGAAATTTCATCTTAGAATTGGTGTTTTGTCAATAGCAAAAACATAATTTCCCTTTTTACTGCTCTGAAATAGTTATTTTTAATAGGAAGAATTTTGAAAGAGTTTTGTAAATACCTCTTTTCATGATTATAAACCCAAGACAGGTGTCCCTCTGAATCTGGAATTGCTGAAAACACTTGTAGAGGAAGAAGTCTTGAGCCATTGTGCTGATTTTTTTTTCTAACTGAAATAATGAAAACTCAGTTCAACTGGAGCTCTTTTTTATCTCTGAAGTACTTACTGAAACAGGATATTCATGTGTTTTAAATTAAATAATGGACGTCCCCGTTGCCTGAGTACGTTAAGAGTAACACCGCAATGAAACACAGCTTGGGAAAGGTGTATCTTCAGTGCTTTTCATTTGCAGCCAGTAAAATTTGAGGAGTTGGTGAATTACAGCCTTGAAGTAGGAAAGTGTAAGGCAAAGTCACATTCAATTAAGAAAAAAAGCAATTTTATTAGGATTGTTAAAATACCTGAAACTGTCATCAGTCTTTCCATAAAACCCACGTTTCATTCATGTATATTAAGCTTCCATCTCATTAAGGTGTGTTCAGCACCTTAAAAAAATCCATTCTTGTTTCTAGGAGAAGCAGTATCAGCTTTCCCACCAGTGCCAGATTCCCCAGCCAGCTGATCAGTGCCATGTTGTCCAGCCCTGCCAGCGCTGGGAGCAGCCCCAGGTCACTCACCAGTGCCAGCAGACACAGACCAGCAGCCCCTGTGAAACAATTCCGGTCTCGGTGAGCGACGACTGCCGGGGAAACACCGTGCGGAGGGTGACAGTCCAGACCTGTGAACCGGTAACAATCGTTTGCTGAATGTTTTACTATTCACAGTGCATTTGCTTTGTATGCGGAGTACAGAACTCTGCAGATACATAAACCTGCTAATTCCCAATCTCTGAAGTTTTTGTTCAAACTCACAATAGGGTCATTAGGCACCATACAGTGCTGTAAGTAAACAGCAGAGTGTGTGTCTGTCACAGGCGACTTCTTTGGATGCCGTGATTGCTGACATTGTCTAGAACTGTCTAGGACTTTGTCATGTGCCATTAGGGGGAAAAAAAAAAGGGCTTTTTTAGGTGTTGTATCCTATTTCTTGTTTGCTGTAGACCTGTGTGGAATTGTACTGACTGATCACCATTCTGTTGTCTGTTAAATGCTTTAAGTCATGCTGGTTTGTTTGGTTTGGTTTTTTTTTCTTTATCTGGGAGTGTTAGCCATTGATTGAGTCAGGTTTCATCTGCCAGTCTTTGTACAGCAAATAGTGAGTAATGTAAGGCTTATGCCTCCAGTTTGGGGAAAAGATACATTACTTTATGAACTGGACATATATCAACTTGGGATTGCTTTCCATCTAAACTGATCAGTAAGGATTTAAACTATATTTCAATTTGATGTAGAAGTATTTGACATAGATTCACTGGTAGCACCAAACCAGCTTCTTTGGCCCTTCATTTCACAGCAGGTTGCAAGTTGTGGAGTTTGTAAGGGCTGTGGGAGGGTTGCTATACATCCACAGTGTTACTGAGCTGGGGAGGGAGCGTAGCCATCCCTCCTGGGCATCTATTCAGTGTAAAGGTGGGAAGACAAACACGCTTGGTGACCTCAGTGTTAGAGCTGTGCGGAATCTTCCATAGCCAGATACTCCCGTAAACCAGCTTAGGTACACTGACTTCGGGTTGCTCTTTAAATCCTTTCATTGTTCACATACGTAAACATTTGAGCTGTGGCAATATAAATACCATTTCTGCAGTGGGGAGTCCTGTCTCAGCTGGTTCTATCTGGGTGCTGCCCACAGGCGTATCCACTACTGCTATGGAAACGTGTATATTAATGACAGATTTCCTAATTCTCAACACTTTCCATATTAGACTAAAGATGGTGATGTTGCTGTAGAAGAGAACATTTAGCATATTTCTTGTTGTAAAGGAAGTCATTTATTTCTGCGTATTTTACTGAAAACCAGAAGACATGGAAGGTTCAATTTGAAGGAAAAGAGCAGTGTTAACAAATTGCAAATTAGTAAGAGCAAACAAAACCAAACCCGTCATACTTGTACCGTTTTCATGTTCAGCTCTCACTCCAAAGAAGGGAACTGAGTTATGATCTTCTTGTGTATCTTCTGCCAGGTGAATTGCTCTCAGGAAAACAGCGACCAGCTGGACTGCCGCTACTTCGGTGAGCTCCTGGCTGAACTGAACCGCAAGAGCAATGACCTGTACAGCTGTTTACTGCAGCACGTGGAGAAGATCGGAGGAAGGTACCGGCGTTAGACCTGTTCTGTCATTGCTGTATCTGTTCCAGAAATCCTGGCCTTGCTCAGTTATGAGGACAGTACGGTTTGCAAGTTGGTTTGGTTTTCTTTACCTGACTAGAATCAACAAATGTGTATTTAACACGTTAATCTAATTTGCTGAGTAACCGAGGACATAAAAACGCTGTAAGACAAGTAAATTTGTTGAATTCGATGCTTTTTCAAATTGTTTAGACTAATATGCAATAAGAGTAAGGTATCCCATGGCTGTTTGCATACCACATGCAAATTCATGTTAAGCAGGTGTTCTACAGAGCCCTACAGGTTGTCTTTGAAAAGAAATGCAGAATCCCCACAGCCAGTAATTGGAGTCTTGACAAGGTGCTCACCCTTCCTCCCCATCATTCTTCCCCCTCATTCCAGTCTCCTTTGGTGCTCCCCAAGTTCATTGAAATAAGAAAAGTGGTCCCAAGCAGGGGAAAAGTGGGATTTAAGCATCACAAAGATCCTGAGGCTGCTAAGTGGACTCTTCTCGATACATTGCAGCATAGTTCTGGCTAAAACATTACCCAGCCAATTAAGAATGTAACCGGGTAACCAAACGTAACTGGGATACCTGCCCAAAGCAGCTGAGATAGTTGGCCTGTGTCAGCTGAGCTGCTGTTAGTATTCTGGTCTCCTTGGATGTTTCCATGTGCAGGCTCTTTGACAGCGTGTTGCCTAGCACCTGAAAAGGAAAGTAACAGCTCTTCATTTGGTGACCCTTCCTTGCTCCATACTTTAAAGACAATCATTTCATAGTTGTCCATGTGGGCATGAATTGGTAAAGTTCTCCAGAAGCTTTCAGTTAATTGGTGCCTTGGATTTTGTCTGTTTTACAGGAACCATGACATCGAATTTACATGTCAGGTAAGCGTCAGGCTGCTCTTAGCAAGCTGTAATGTGCCATGTAGTGTTAATAACAATGGTGTTGGATCTTCAAGCAAATTAAGCCAAGTCAGTGTAAATGAAAGATGTTGGTCTTTGTCAGTTAATGATTCCTGCTTGTTAATCACATTCAGAGCCTGAAACCTACTGCTAGGCATGTATTTGCAAATGTGGTAATATTGAAAGGAAACTAGTAATTTGCATTATTCCAGTATGAGAGTCAAATTTTGAAAGTATTTCCTGTTGTGCCAATACTGGTTTAATTGTAAAACCACTCACACAGCTACAAGTATTGTCACAACGCGTTTTTTGCAAAGGATCTTTCACACTCTTGCCCATAAAGCTGCTGATCAGCAACAGGCTCTGCCGAGCCCTGCAGGGAGGGAGTCCTGCCTCTGACAGGAAGGAGAGGTGTCTGCAGGAGACAGAGACTCCTCTGGCTGCGGAACACTCGCTTTTGGGAGTGAGGCCGTGACAGAGTCACCGGCACCTCCGCTGCTTTTAAAGGCACCGTGTGCATGGCAGAAATCTTTGTCCAGGATTAAATGACAGGAAGCAACACCACTTAATGCTGTGACACGCTGCTCATCTGTAGTTTACTGACAGTCCGTGCTTTGTTTAGAAACAGGAGATTTGCTCTTATCAGAAACAGCTGGGAGTTCTGTTGTAGCGTCAGCTGTTATTTTCTGGAGAGAGGATTGCTTTGAATACTGCTTTTAAAATAAATGTTAAACTCAATGATTTGAATATATGCTTCATGTATCACTTCATCTCAGTTTTTATATGCCACACGTATATAAGACTTTGGATTTTTTCTGGATATGCTTTGATGTAGTTTCATTCTTATTTGCCTTGTACTAAACGTGTTTTTCATAGTAGACCCATGTAATTAATTAAAAACATACATGACCTACCGAGCAAAATTCTTAATCAAGATGTCTCCCCTTTCCTCCCTTCTTTGTTTAGACTGAAGAAATTGAAGATTTGATTCCCAAAGGACTGTCTGAGGCAACAAAGCAGCAGATTCGTTATCTCCTCCAGGTATGTCAGTGGTTTGACATCTGAGGGATGGGGAGCCAGCTCTGCAAGGGCTCAGATACAGCGGGTGCTGGGGGGCCCAGAGGCTCCAGTCTAAGAGCGCGGAGAATTTGACTGGAGAAGACACCTATGGAATTTAGCAAACTCCAGCACTAAGTAGTTGCTGAGTAGGGATTTACTTACATTTTCATAGTCTCAATTCAACTATTTTGACATAATTCCTTCTTTTAATCTATTCCTGTAGTGCATGTCACAATAAACCAAACAAAACTGTAAGTCAGAACTGAAATTCCACTTTAATTAAAAAAACCAAACAAATGGGTGAGTTACATTAGAAATGTTATTTTTGAAGCCTCAGTCACATGATCGCACCGGTGGGGGTAAAAAGTACACAGGCTAATCACCATATTGATGGAGATCTTGACAGCTTTCTTCAGTTTGAATGATCAATAAGTTTCTACTTTAACAAATAACTTTTAAGGGAAAGTATCAGAGGAAAAGAAACACACAGGAGGATTTAATTTTTGTCCAGGCAGTAACAAATACTTTTGCAGATATTCAGCCCTTCCAAACGAGTCAAAACTTGAGGAATTATTTTGTGTGTTCTTTCAAAATCTATTTTTCTTCTTTCAAGTACTAGAAATGTATCCTGAAATGCAACAATTTGTGTTTTAATGTGAATCAATGCACAGCTGTTAACGTGCATTAAAAGAGAGAAGAGGCCAGGGTTAGGCTGCTGTGCACCACTGCCTTTCTTTTTCATCCAGCTAAATCCTTTAATCTTCAAGATCTTTTTCCTTTAAAGGGAGGAGTGGGCTGTATGGCTTTTATTTTTTATTTTAATTTTAATTACATTCTCTTGCCCTTGGGCTGAAAGTGTGCCATGCCAGATCTGAGATGGTGACTCAGTCCTCTGTGGCTTCTCAGGTCGGGTAGTTATTTTTCTTAAATCAGCCTAAGTCACGAAGCTCTGAGTGCTCAAGAATTGATGGAACAATATGAACACATCTATTTTTTCCCTTTGTGAGTGTACAGATGCAGCTCTTGACTCTCCTGTTCCTTCCTTTTAAAAATGTTCTGCTGCATTACAAGGCAGTAATTAAAAAAGCTATGCCGTTTGCAGAACAAAGTGCATGAAAATATGTTTGTAGACACTGTGGACACTTCAAAGAACGACGTATGGTAGTTCTGAGAGTGAAGTTATTTTCAGCTGAATAGCAGTTTTCTGTTCTACCCATTATCGAGCATATTGTTAACAAAGTGTGCTAATTAATCAGAAGTACACATTTTCTTTTTTTTCCCCTCTCCTAGATGAGAGTGACATCAGATAAATCTTTGAGACTTGTGCTTTCCACTTTCAAAAATTTACGTGAAGAGCTTTGCCATTTGCAGGATGACTTGGGGGTAAGTGGATTCTTCAATTCCTGTGGCCTCGTCATTTGTTTTCACCTGTCAGTAGGAATCTGTTATGATGAAATTCAAATTGTGAAGTCCAGGCTCTAGTTGCTTTAATGGGAAGGGCTGGTTTATTCATGGATTTGTGAGACACCTACAGAGGATGAGGTCAGATTTCGTCCCAGCAGCGGTTGTCAAGTGTTCAGTTTGAAGCCTGAAAAATACTTTCAAAGGAAGAAGACTCTGCTGAGCAAAATTAAAGCTCTGAATTGGTACATACACTGCATAGATGTCTACGTAGGTGTAGATGTACAGAACTGTGTTTTACTCCCAACGTGGACAAGGCACATACAGCAGGTGCCTATTTATTTGCTAGTGCTGTTCCAGGGAGGAGGAGGCCGGGGTTCCATTCTCTCCTGCCAAAGCCCAGGGAGGCTGCCCTCGGCTGGTGGCTCCCCAGGGCAGAGGCAGCGCTGGGGGCTGCTCTCGGCTGGTGGCTGAGAGGGACAGTAAATAACTGCTGTCAGGAAAGCAGAAACATTTCCACATCAGCCCAAGTGCTGGGGGCTGCTGGAAACTTCACAGCATCCTCATGTGAAACACAAAGTTTAGGGAGGGAAGAGGGAGTTTTAACCGTCATTAACATAGAACAAGGAGTTTGTGCAGTGAAGTGGTCTTGGCTTTTTGCTTGGTTTCAATAACTGCAAATAATTCTTTGTGGGACAGACTGAAAGAGCAGTGCCCAGATCCCAGTGCTTACAACACAAAACCACAGATACTACATTCATGGGCAAGTGTGTGCTATGTAGTTAAAAACACATAGTTTCAAGAAAATGGAGTATTTGCTCAGTTCTAAAACATCCCTTAATAGTTACTCAGTATGTTGCACTTTGAATGTGGGAAAAGTTTACTGAAAAACTGCAACTATTGACTGTAAACACTCTTGTCTTACAGAAATTAGAAACTGAGAACATCTGTCTTAAGAAGGATTTGGCATTTAAAGATTCTCAAGTAAAAGAATATGAAACAATGTTGACTTCTCTGAGAGAGAACAACCGTCAGCAGCAGGTAAATCTAAAACCCTATCTTCAGAGTAATTACAGTCAGCCAAAAACGAGACGGTAGGTGTGCTGGTCTGGAGTGCTCTGAGCAACTGCTGCCCCGTGTATCTTTGTGTGTGTCTGACCCTGGTACATCCCTGAGGAACACTGGGTGTTGACTCCACTTGTGTGCTTTCCAGCAGGGACTCAGGGAGAGCACTGCAAAATGCCGCTCTCTGGAGGAGCAGCTCCTCTCCCTGCGGCTCAGCGAGGGAGGGAAGGATTGTCAGCTGAAGGAGCTGGAGTTCTGCAAACGCGCCCTGGAGCAGGAGATCCAGAGCCTCAAGCTACAGGTAACGGCCTCCCTTCATACAGATGCATTAATGTATGAAAATTAATGATGAAAACTCTCTTTTTAAAATAAAATTATTTCATTTTTTTGTAGACCTGCTCTAATCCAACACTACAGGCCACCACGGATGAACTCTCCAGCCGTTACGTAGAGATGATCAATAACTTGAGAGAGGATAAGGACCGTGAGATCCGCAGTCTGAGGGTAAGTGGATGGACTTGGGACAGCTCATCCCTCACCTTGTACCTCTGCAGGTAAACGGCCTCCGTTTTAATCAAGGAACAGGAGAGATCTACTCTGCGTTCTTTTTAGGTTATCTTTTGGTTCTGCATTTACTTTATAGACACTATGATGGCTCAGAAACACTTAGGGTATAACACAAAACTGTGATTTTAAAAAAAAAGTACAATTCCTTAGATGTAGAAATTAGGGATTAATTAGATTGCAGTCTGCCCTAAAGGGATGTTTTGTGTGTCTTGATAAAGTAAGAAATTAGCCAAAAGACACCCAACAGAAAACAAAAATAAATCCCAGTCAGAAATGTCTGTAGGAAACATCTCTCATTTAAATCACTCTAGTACTATTTTACCAGCCTGGAAGTGAATTCAACTTGCTCACTTTTGTATTAGCTTTACTGCATTATAAAACTATTAGATCGACAGTGGGTAGAATTCGGTCCAATTAGCACTTTTGCAATTTACTGTGCAGTTCAACATTCTTATTTGAAAATCATTGGGTCTTCCTGGTCGTGAATTTGATGAAAGAAATGCATGTGGAGTCCTAGACAGATACTGAGAGGTCACCTGGAAGGGGCGCCAAACACCTAACTCTTCCTTAACCCGTGTTTCACAGAACCAGCTGTGCCAATTCCAGCAGGATATATCAAGGAGAGAAGGAAGTAACAGCGACCTGCAAATGAGGTTGCATGAACTGACGTCAATGCTGGAGGAGAAAGAGGCTTTTATTAAACAACAGCAAGAGGTAAAATAATACAACTTATTTCTAAGAATTTTTATATTTAAGCCTGCACTTACTGTGTAGGTGGAAACTTCCTAGGAAGTCCCTTGTACTCTCCTGGTGCAGGAATCAGCATTAGGATGTTTTTTAACTGAATGCTGTTCCTCTGCCAGTCTTTTGGAAGGACAGACTTTTTTTTGACTGCTCTTTGAGAGGAATTTCTGCAAATATTTTGTTGTGACTTTAGTGAACTAATACTTCAGAAAACATTATTTGATTTGAATGTTTACTCTTGGTTTCTCAGGACCTCTTCAGACTGAAGCATGAGAAGTTATCAGGCAGCCAGTCCCCTGGTGTAACAGCGATCATCACCAAGAAGTAATGTAGTTACCTCTCTTAAAAATACATCCTTTTGGAGCGATCATCACCAAGAAGTAATGTAGTTACTCACCTCTCTTAAAAATACATCCTTTTGCTTTTCCATTGTATATAGTCTTTGTTAGCCACGTTCTTGCCTCCTGAAAATGTCTTAATACTTAATACTTTATATAGATAAACTGTCAAGATTGGCTTTCTCTCCGTGGAGGATTCACTACTAAGCGCTGTAACAGCAACTGGGGGGAGGCGAGCGTGGTAAAGTGACATTTAAGTGACTGGATTAACTTTTTAGTTACTAGTGAAAACCTTTGGGGATCAGTGACTGGCAGGACTGTATGGGAAGATCAGTTATTGATCTGGATGCAGGTGTGTGCATTTCAGCTTACAGGTTTGCAACTCTCTTCAATGCAGGTACAGAAATCAGTATCCTATCCTGGGTCTCCTGTCCGATGACTACAAGGTTACATCCCCTGTCAATAAATCACAAACTATTGTAATTGAGAGGACTGGCGAGATATGGAAACACGTAAGTTTACCTACACATTGTCTTTTCAGTCTCTGAACTTCCTAAGTATTCAGTTTAACTTCAGAGAAAGTATTAGCCAAAACTGACACCTGAGAGAAAAAGCCACAGCGTTAATTCAACTTGGCTGCAAAAAGCAGAGTGATTAAGGTGAAGGAACTGCACCGTCTATTACAAGGCAGCAGTTAATTGGAGGGTGGAGTATGAATAAAATAACCTTTTGTTGTTTTCTCTGACACATAATTAATTAACAAAGGCAGTGGCGTTGCTGGAACACCTGCCTCTGCCCTCACGCACAGGGCTGTCTCTGGGCACTGCAGTGCCAGGGTGGTAGCTGGGCAGGGACGGTTTCTGTTGTGCTCTCAGGTGAAGGGGTGTTTTGGGTGGCAGCAGCCCTGACTCACGAGTATTAATGACTCCAAACTAATCCTAAAACTTATTAAGCATCACATCCCTGAAACTTAAATCGAGACAGGGCAGTGACTAACCCAGGAAACGCAAAAGAGCAGAGACTTTTTAAGAAGTGATTCAAAGTCAAAATACAGACCAGGACTGCAGAAGCTCCTGCAGCTACAGGGCACAAGGTGCTGCTGCCAAGGCTGGATACAAGGTAGTGGCCTGAGAAGGAGCAGCACGGCCAGTTCACATGGGGCTGGCTGCAGAGGGAGAGGCAGAGCAGCACAAAGACACCAGTCTTGAGAGAGCAGCTTTGTGGGGGACGTGACCAAGAAAAAGACAGCGATGTGAGCAGCACAAGCAGACAAAGGGTAGAACATCTGGCATGTTCTAAAAGGGTATGTTACCTGGAGTGGGATTAAGAAAATACAAGGTAGAGGTCACTGGCAAACAGCATTATTTCATTGGTGATCTCTAAAACTCATCCAAGTGCATTGCAACCTAGTGAAATGTCCAGGAATTAAACATTAATAAAGAAATTACAAAAACAAATCCAACCCCCTCCTCCCTCCTAGCTTACTTGAAAAGTTAGTCATGCTTTCTGTGCATTTGAAGAGATCAGTATCATTAAATAAATAAGAACTGTATTTTAAATTTCCCAAGCTCTCTATCAGCTAGTGCAAGTTTCAGCTGAAACAAAATTACTTTGCTGGAAGATAAACTCGCTAAGTGTGAGAGGTGCCAATTTCACCTTTAATCCAAGCTTCACAAGTACTTTTTCTGTTTTTATGTACTGTCAGCTCAATCTCTTTAGCTGGGTTCATTACTGAATAGGGGTGACAGGGGTGTGAGCAGCGGGGGTTTTATACTGAAAGAAGTAAGTAGCCTGTACATGATACTGTCTTTCAAGCAATGGTTATTTGTCATGCTCAGTCCCTGGGGATACTCAAACAAAAGTACTTAAATGTTATTTGTAACATTGATTATTAGTTACATTAGAGAACACTTGCAGGGTAGAAATTTTTTAACACTATTATTACTATTCAGGTATAACTTCCTGTTCTTGGTTGTTTTCCTAAGTACAAAAATGCTCTTGTCCTTGGGTTTGTGTTCACAGGAGACAGTGAATCACAGCAGTTCTCACCTCTGCCCCTGCTGAACAAAAGCCCTTTACAGCTTAATGGCACGACTTTGACCTCGGTAGCAGGGACACGCTGAGCGCTAGTTAAGGAGGAAAGGCTCACTGGCCACTCCAGACACTTCAAAAGCCAGGCTCTTAGATAAAATAAATATAAAATTAAATGAGGCATGCTTTATATACCAGGCAGTTTTGTTTTATATACAGAAATAAGTTTGTGTATTTTCTTCTAACAAGCTACTTGTTTCTTTCAGGAATGAAAGAAATCCGTGAGAGCAGCCAAAAGGAGTTCACGACAACTAAAATTGCTTTCTTTTCTGCTATGCTGCATCTGAAAAAGGCTGGGGAGCACATTAAGGACATGGAAGCACAAAGATGACTCCAAACACTGTCTCATCCTCACCATAATGAGCCCTGTTACCCGTGTCTGTAATCTGCCACTAACAGCTGTGTACAGATGTTATTTGTACTTTTTCATGCACTTACTTTTCGCTCAGGAGAGCTCGGGATGCCATGCTTTCGTGGACTTCAGTTTTTCTTGTCACAACCAACATCTGTTCTTCAGCCAGTCCTGAAGCAATCTGAAAGACAAACGAAGTCTGAAACCTTTTCCTTTTTGCACTATTCACCGTATTTTTCTGTCCTGTCTACTCACACTGAGAAGTGAGAGTGACACAAATTAAGTCTGAGACACAGCGATTGGCTGGTTTCAGTTCTATCTGCTACTGCCTGTTGAAGATGAAGCAAACTCCAGAAACACCCTTCAAGGGGAACATTAAAAATACCTCACTGAAAATATCTCACCTTGCATCTGCCTATGGATGAGAAGCTGAAACAGAAAGGAGAATTACTCCAGAAAAACAATTCCTCAAATCCAGCTACTGAATTGGCAAATCCCAGACTTACCTAGTTCAGGGAAATGATTGGGCACATGCTAATTTTGAAGAGTGTGATTGACCTCAGAGCTGATGTATTTTCAGCTGAACCTTTATATGCCCCCAGACCAGCCACAGGTATTTATTTGCTGTGCTTGAAAATTTTAAGAACTTGGTATATTTTTATATAGAATGAAAATAGCTCATAGACTGAATTTCATTATCAGATGACCTGCCATTTACAGTTTTTGCTCATCACAGGACCACAGAAATTCTCTCAAAATTATTTGATATTAATAATTAAGTAGTTGTCTAAGCAATACAGTGCAGAGAATCACAGGGGACATTTTTAACTATGCAATCAAAAGGTGCTGGCTTTTTACTAGGGGGTTCTTGCTTTGCTTTATTTCTGCAGACATGTATTTCTATTCACAAGTAATATATATCATAGACAATGTTTAACGGTGAAAGAATGTACGCTATGTGTAGCTATGAAATAAACCTAAATGGAACTTTCTGAATCATGTCTGTCTGTACTGGAAACATCTCCCGTCTGTGTGACAGGCTGGAGGGGGCTGGTTTAGGTGGTGTGATGATACTGCCTTTTTTTTTAGACAACTTGTTCCTCTAAATGAATCTTTACAAGTAAAGGAATGACCCTCTGCTGGGGTCAGGTTGGGCTGGCAAAGAACCCAGCACAAAAGCTGCTCATGTATGTCCAGTCCAAGATGAGCCCAAGTGAGTATGGACCATTGAACTACACTCACTTTAGCCTAGTTCTATGGAAAGAGGTTTTAATTGGTTAAAAATTAAATATCCTCATTTGAATGAGTGCCTTGCCCCTCTGAAATCAGTAATTATTAGATTCTAAAATCACCCCACTTCTGTAGAGCAGCTGACTATAAGGTACATATACACAAGGAGTTAACATACTAATGATGCAGAATAGTGTCAAAGTGTATTCTATCCCAATAAATAATTAATTAGAGATACACCCTCTTCTAATGACATTTGTGTTTGGTGACCTGAATGATAAAAAGAAACAAAATAGGAAAACCACCACATTTGTTTAATGTGTGCACAACTGTGCAGTTACCCCAGCTGAAGGACACACAGAGATTTGCTGACTTACCATGGTCCCAGCTGGGCTCGACGGGTTGGCAGCGCTACACGAACGGTTCTGAAGCAGCTGTGAACAGCAGAAACATGAGTTATTAATGGCAACAGCGTGTACTTGCCTCAGCCATTGCAAAGGCTGCACAGTGTATGTACTAACCCTTCCAGTAGCACCACTGCTGCTTTAGCTCTGCCATAAGGCCATGCAATAGTGTAACACAAGCAGGAACCGCCCTTTAAGGACAGTCAGAACTGCTGGGCGTGGGGGTCTAATTTATGACAAAAGCCTGATTAGGCAAATGATCTGTTTTGCATATACAGCTGGCATTATGATAAATTTGAAAAACACCATACTTGAAGGGATGGGTAACAGTTTGGTAATCAGGAAAGATAG